CACTCCTGACACGGAAAAAAATATATCAAGGAGATAATCTGCAAGGAATCCATTACAGTAGTTGAGTTCAGTGAATTCTCCTGCCTGTTCCTACATAAATAACTGTGTCACAATTAGTCCAACTACCATTTTGATGTGGTATCTCGCATACCACATCACAAAATAAATTATATTCTCTATCTCAACTTTTTAATGCTTGCAGAAGAGAATAAATATTCTATACACATGCCATCAAGAACAACTAATCTTCTTGAAGGTCTCCAATTCCAGACTTGGCACAATCATTGAAAGGATTTGGTAGCAACCGGTGACATAAAAGACCTCTACCTGAGACCCTGGAGAGAAGCTCCTAGCTGACATACATATGATAAAAGACTAGGCAATCACTCTGACATTGTATTTTTCAGACCTTCAAGTTATCAAATTCTCTTACCTCCCACAGAGATGACTGCATTGAAGCACTGACCACGAAAAGGGAGATTAAGGTTATCACAGACCATCACTTCACAACCTTTAGTCTTTGCAATCTCAACCAAAGGGCCACAATAATCGCATCCAAGGTTATATACTTGGCTGTTGACACCAAGATATTTTCCAGTCCCACAACCTTTAAAAAAATAAAATGCAGATACATCAAACTTTGCTTTACTGCTAGGAAAATAAAACATAGCAAAAATAAATACATTTTCTCAGTTCAAAGATACTGAACACAAAAGCAGAGTAAAATTATGTTTGATTGTGTTCCTGGAGTAAAAATGTTGCCATTGCAACAAAAATACTTTTCTATAAAAAAACAATAAAATTATTTCAAAATAACAATATAAAATAAACACCACAATCAGCTCTGCACAGAGGCCTTTAGAGCATTTAATGCCCATCTCCAAAAACAGATGGACTCAGTTCCTTGCCTGCTGTGATTCAGTAAGTATTGCTCATTCTGGCATGACCATGAGCTTGGCCAACATTTTAGACAGAAATTAAACAGGCTTAGCATTGTAGGTTGGTATGATCAGTCCCTTGCCAATGGCCCACAGTTTGGCAGAGGGACCATCCTGACCCAAATGCTAGATCGTTTTTTCAGTCCCAGTAGGAGTTGTGTTGGGCAACAGTAAAGGGGCAGTATAAGGGATGTGCTGTTCCACTGTATATTGTAATAATAATAATAATAATAATAATAATAATAATAATAATAATATAATTATATATTTATATTACATGTAATATTACTAATAATATTACAATATAATGGTATAGTATAATATAGTAGTATTTAGTACTGATATTATACTATGCTAATAATATAATTTAGTAAGGTAAAGGTTTTCCCCTGACATTAAGTCCAGTCGTGTCCAACTCTGGGGTGTGGTGCTCATCTCCATTTCTAAGCCGAAGAGCCAGCGTTGTCCGTAGACACCTCCAAGGTCATGTGGCCAGCATGACTGCTGGAGCGCTGTTGAATATACAATATAATACATTGTGTGTATATGTGTGTGTGTGTGTGTGTGTTTGTGTGTATGTGTGTGCAGAGGTGGCTCAACCCATTACGCAAAGGAAGCATTTGCAGTATAGTTGATTTTGCCCAGGGGCACACTTGAGGCGCTCTTGGGGGAAAACAGACCTTGACATATGCGAGTTGTAGTTACTGGGATGTTACTTTATGATTCTATGATTCTATTTTATAAGTCACTGAGTTAGAGGACTATTTCTTGTTGTGAAGAGCACTTGGATCAGATTGGCAGGGCTTCTTAAAACACAAGGTAGTAGGTGACACTCACCTCACTTTTTGGCATCTGTAAAATTGAAAAACGGCAGTTTGCCCAGACCTTCCTCCCACCAGCATTTGGAGAATTGAGTGCCTTGATACATATGAAAACGTGTATGAAATTCATGATTTAATGGAGAGAAATGTGTAACCTAGTGGACACAAAAACCTATTCTATGTTATTAAGGGCTCTCAGAGATAAGGATTCATAGAATCACAGAGTTGGAAGAGGCCAAAAGCGACATCCAGTTCCATCATCCTATTGTGCTAGGTAACAACCACAACAACTTACCTATATCTGCAATGAGGCTTCCAGGCTTTTGTTCTAGCAGAAACTGTCGAACACGAGGCCATGCTTTGCCCTGAAGATCATTGAAATAGGTGGCCGTGTTTTCATAGACACTATGCACATGTTGCTTTTCTAGCTGGGAAGCCTCATGTTCCATCCTGCAGGAAATAATGACCACATGCACATCAAACAATGTGAATAGTGTGTGCTCAAGTTAAATTCAAGAAACACAGTAAGGGAAAGGTTCTCCCCACATATCTCAGTAGTCCATATTCTGATGAGAAGCAACAACTCCCCACATATCTCAGTAGTCCATATTCTGATGAGAAGTTACAACTCCCCACATATCCATATTCTGTCAAGCAGTTACAACTCCCCACATATACCAGTAGTCCATATTCTAATGAGAAGTTACAACTTTTCAAAGCTTTCTTTGTCACCAAACAAGCCAACTGTTTGTTATGCACTTTCACGGCACTTCTCCCTGCTCTTCTCAGCCACAGTTTCCTCCTGTCTTTTGCTGCAAATCAAACCGGATGCCATAATCTCATCCTTCGAGTAGTTAGCAAATACTCACAGGCCTAAATACTGGCTCTCTTCATTACCAGCTAAATTTATCAAGTTGACAATAGTGCCAACATTTCTGCAGATTTTGAAAGAAAAAAACCTGTTGAATTACAACTTCCAGAATACCTGGCTAGCAGTCAGCTATAGTAGCTTCTGAAAGATATACCTAACACTTTTGTGTGATTGGGACTTTAGCACAGCAGGCTAACTGTCAGCTGCAGTAAATCTTTCCAATCAAACTATTGACAGTTCAAGCCCAGGTTGGGGTGAGCTCCTGACCATCAGCCCGGCTTCTGCCCACCTAGGAGATCAAAAATAGCAATGTGAATAGATAAATAGGTAATGCTTTAAAAAGCAGGGAGGTAATAAAGGTTTCCATAAAGGACATACGGACAATTCGATCGAGAGGCGTCTACGGACAACAACAAAAAAGTTCCTCGGCATGGAAGATGGAGCAACAGCACACACACTCTCCCCATGGCCAGAGTCGAGCATAGCCTCCAGATGTCAGAAATGGGAAAAAACTGGTTTTAAATTGATTTTAATGTATATTTATTATTATTTATTTTATTTACTTTACTTGTATACCGCAGTTTCTCAGCCCAACAGGCGACTCAACGCGGTTTACAACAAGGATAAGAATCAATCAACGATATACAATTTAAAACCATAAAAGCATAATATACAATATTGACACAACAATAGACAACACAACATAACTAGAGTCGTGATCCATATGTTGTGTTAACAGTTTATGCCTATGTTTTTGTTTTATATTGTATGTTTTTGTATTATTTTGTATATGTGGAAACTGCTCTGAGTCCCCTAGGGGGAGATAGGGTGGTATATAAATAACGTTTTTATTATTATTATTATTATTATTATTATTATTATTATTATTATTTGAAACACAACAAGATGAGTCCACAGCAGACACTCTGCTGGCTGTTGTATTGGATCACACGTCGGACACTTCCCAAGTATTGGCAAATAATGCGTGCAGATCCCAGTAAGGTGGCCTTTTGCAGCTGGCAGATGGTAATTTTGTCAGCGCCAATTGTGTTTAAGTGCAGGCCAAGGTCTTTAGGCACTGCACCCAGTGTGCCGATCACCACTGGGACCACCTTTACTGGTATTATTATTATTATTATTATTATTATTATTATTTATATACCTCTGTCTATATATTGCTTGTCCTGTCAATTGTATAATGGCATTGAATGTTTGCCTATACGTGTTCTGTATAAAGTTTGTACACTGAGTCCCCTGCAGGGTGAGAAGGGCGGGATGGAATAAATAAAAGTAAACATAGTTTCTGTTAGGTACGCAATCTGCAACCACATATATAATCTCATTTGTATTATTACATCCACACCAACTGAAAATGGGCACTGATGTGGAAGTAACCCAAGCTGTATAGACTGTTCACATGGTAACAGCTTCACTCTACCCATTTTATGATCTAGGCTTTTAAAATCTTTCCCCCCAGAATATGAACTGGAAAGACTTTGCTCACTTCATGGAGTCGGAGATTAGCTTGCAAAGTACTAGGGCTAAAAACATCGAATTGCAGTTCTGCTGAACTTACCACAGAGGAGAATGGAACAAAGGGTGAAAAAGCCATTACTTTAAATCAGCCAGAGCAGGCTAAAGCTTGTTTGCCCGAACATCTCCAAGGAAGCAAGCAATACATAAAAGCATACAGAAGTACAGCACTTAAGGGCTGGCACATAGATCAAATGTCTTAATTTTCAATGTCTCACTCCTAAAACCATTTTAAAAATATTATATCTACACTGCTACAGTTATGAACCAATAATAGGACAAACTAGCACCAGCAACAGAAATATATATTATATAAGAATCTGACGGAATAGTGTGATTGTAATAAGTGTTGGACTAGGACTCTGGGAGACCAATGCTCAAATTCCCACTCAACCACGGAAGCCCACACAATCCAAATTATCAAAGCAGATAATCCACATTATCTGCTTTGAACTGGATTAAATGAGTCTACACTGCCATATAATCCAGTTCAAAGCAGATAATCTGAATTATATATGGCAGTATAGAAGAAATCTGAGTGATTTTAGGCAAGTCATACTTTCTCCGCCTGAAAAGGCAATATAAACTGAGCAACTCTTTCCAAGAAAGTCCTATGATGGGCCTGACCTAAATCCACGTTGACTTGAAGAAATATAACAGCAACAAGGATCATACAGACTTATCAAGGCATATTTCTCACACTGCTCTCCTGGTTTTAGTGTTCTGTGCAAACCACAAACTACTTCTTGTATAAACTCATGTATAAGTCCAGAAACTTAAGTCAAAATTTGACCCAAAATATCTGGGTCAATTATCCATAGGTCAATGGAAGCACTGCATCTTAACTCTGATTTTTTTTTAAGAAACTAACCTTTTTTTCTGAGTAGAGTGATGAAGGCAAGAGCTTGGTCCTAAAAGCACCCACATCCCCTAATCTCTTTGCCTTCCAGCCTTTTTGAACGTCTGGAAGAAAAATGGCAGTGGTTCTTTGGCACTTCCCGACAATGGAGAACTGAAAGAATAGAGAGGGACGCTGCTTATCCTACGATCTCTTAAGCTTTTGTCTTTCATCACTCTGCTCAGAGAAGAGGATGGTTCCTTTTTTTGTTAATAGTTAATCCTGTTCATTAACTTTTTTCAGAAATGTTAATACTTCTTTTTCCGAGCAAAGTAGCAAAAGCCTTTTTTGAATGCCAGGTTGGGAAGACAGCAGTGGCAGTTTCCAAGGGCAGCTGGCCCTGAGATGAGGGAACTGGGCTCCCTCTTCTCCATGAAATTATATTTGAAGTATCCATAAGTTATATTAAAATCTGTAATGTTCATATCAAAATGTACACTCGACTTATACATTAAGGTGACTTATATACACATACATACAGTAACAGTTTCTCTGTTTAAGCCAGCTTGATGTCATTGAACGTAGTAAGAACAATCTTTCTTAAGTGGTTTGTAGACAGAAGCCAAATGTTCTTTCTGTTCATTCAGAAAAATCTCTTTCCATTCTTGCACGTCTTGAACATAGCTGCTTACACTAAGTGCAAATAATGTTACAGGATTGCCAAGTTAGACCAACAGTGCATTGTCATACCTTAACTGTATCTTAAAGTCACCTCTCAAGTAAAACCCAAAGTCAATATGGATTTGCTACAGTGGTATAAGCCAGGACTTGTTAAAACAGAGTATCTAACATCCTGGCAAGGTGCAAGCCAGGTGAAAAAGTTCAAATGGATGTGATGTGTTGTG